TTTTCTATATATTTTTAGTTGTCCAATTAATTTCTTTCTAATTTTAGTAGAGACGGGGTCTCACTCTTGCTCAGGCTGGTTTCGAACTCCTGAGCCCAAACAATCCGCCTGCCTCAGCCTCCCAGAGAGCTAGGATTACATACTGTGATTTTTAAAAAGTGCTGTGATGGACACTTGTGTGTACAAATAGATGTGTGTCCCTTTCTTTCCTTCCTTCCCTCCCTCCCCTTCTTTCCCTCCCTTCTTCCCTCTCCTTCCTTTTCTTCTTTCCTTCCTTCTTTTGTATCTGTCTCTGTCTGTCTGTCTTTCTTTTGTACTTCAGATACTGCCAAATTTCTTTCCAGGACACTTATACCCATCCTGTCCCCCACCGTGCTGACAAGTATTTTCCATGTCCTAACTGCCACGAGATAGGAATAGGAGGAGGAGGGCATAGAGACACAGAGTTAAGTAAAATCTTGTATATGCCCTCTGGGATTTTTTTTTAATTTTTATTTTTTAGAAAGAGTCTCACTCTGTCACCCAGGCTGGAGTACAGTGGTGTGATCATAGCTCACTGCAGCCTTGAACTCTGGGCTCAAGTGATCCTCCTGCCTCAGCCTCCCAAGTAGCTGGACTACAGGTGCATGCCACCGTGTCCAGCTAAATTTTCTTATTTGTTGTAGAGAGGGGGTCTCACTATGTTGCCCAGGGTAGTCTCAAACTCCTGGGCTCAAGTGATCCTCTTGCCTTGGCAACCCAAAGTGCTGGGATTATACAGGTGTGAGGTACCATGCCCAGCTGCCCTTTGGGATTTTGAATCTAGAGGAGGAGGCAAAACAGGGACAGATGAAGTTAGCAGTGTAAGAGTTAAGTAACACGGTAATGTCTCTTGGATAACTGCCACCTGGTGTGGACAAAATGCTGTTTGTTCACAGTGGGAGACTGCAGACACCTGGAATGACTTCATGGAAAAGCGGGCTATGGAGCAAAAAGCCAAATCTAAATTTTAAGTCTTGATCAGTAGTTTCTAAAATATTGTGCAGAACATCAGTGCTGTGGGATGTTAATAGCTGGGGTGGCCATATAATTTATAATCCAAACAGGGACACTTGTGAGAGTGAAAGGAGGTGTTATTAATAATGATGCTGGAATAATAGATGTAAATTCAAACTGTTCCTTAGATTCATGGAAGCTTATATAAAATAATAATAATAAAAAAAAACTGCCCTGGGCAAGCAGATGTATGACCATCATATTCTTAGGTATTCTGAGAAAACAGAATACCTCTTAGGTATTGTAGGATCAAACAAGGCTGGGAAAGGTTGCGTATAACAAACAGGTTTCTCTGCTGCAGGAATTCTCAGAGCCGTTAACACACTACTATGGACCACGACTCTCCAAAACAGTAGGGTTTGAAGACTATTTCACCAAGGAACCCCTTGAAAAATGAGTTTCCAGTTTGGAAATCAACCTAAGTGCCCAGTAATTGATGAGTGGATAAAGAAAATGTGGTATCTGAGACAGTTCTATAGAATGAAAAAAAAAAGAAAAGAAAACGTGGTGTGTATGTATACACCCCGGAGTACTACTCAGCCACAAAAAGGAATGAAATAATGTCATTTTAGCAAGTTGGATACAATTGGAGAAGTGAATTATCTCAGGAATGGAAAAATGAACACATGTTCTCACTAACAAGTAGGAGCTAAACGACGGCTACACGTGGTCATAAAGTGGTGTAAAGGACTTTGGAAACTAAGAAGGGGGAGGGCAGGAAGGGGGTGAGGGATAAAAACTTACCTATCAGCTCCAATGTACACTATTTTCTGGTGACGGGCACACTAAAAGCCCTGACTTCAGCATTACACATTCATCCATGTAACCAGAATACTTGTACCCCCTGATATTTTGAAATTAAAATTATATATATAAAAAAGGAAAGATGAGTCTTCCACTTAGGGAAATGCTAAGTAAACGACACCCGGAGTTCTACTTCTCAGTTAGTAGGATAACGAGATTAGGTCTCTCAACTGACTCCTAATCCAGTGCTCAGTATGAACCATACCATATCAAACACTCCCTCTGCTTCTCCTTGGCAATTCATAAAGGGTTCAGTGGGCAGACTCCCAAATGTTAACCTAAATTCATTTTTACTTTAGAGTATATTACATATCTTAATGTATTTTCTCATATATATAAATAATATGAAAGCCACCAACTACCTTGAAGGTTGTCGTCCCCATTATACAGCTAAAAAAAATAAATAGAGACACTCTCAGTTGACCTGTCCTAGTTCTCACAGCTAATTTGTCACCCAGGAGTAAAGGGGAGCCTATGGTCCCCAGCCCTAAGACCTCCCTGGCAAGGGACTGTGTACGATGCAGCCTCACTCACCTGTTCAGTGAGTACATGTATTAGGAGAGCCTGAAGTCACCCCGATTGTTTCTGCTTCCCAACCTCAGGAGCCACGCACGTGCCTGCTCTGTGCTTCTGGAGCTTCAATGGGCTTCTGCTGGTGGTCGACACAACTGGAAAACCTAAATGCATCTCCCGCTACCGCATTCAGGTTGGGAAGAATGAACCTGTAAGTGTTCCTGCGGCTTCTCCCGGTCAAAACACAGAAAGCAAAAGCTAAAAGCCACACGCAGAGTTCTCATTACTGGCCCAGGAGAGACCATGGCCAGTGTGAGGCACATTACCATGGACAAGGCTCCCACAGTTTGGAAGGTCAGAGAGAGGAAATAATTTGCCCAACATCTCAGAGCTACTCAAAGTAGTGGCCAGTAAAGAGTAATGTTCTGGCCTCCGTTCCCAGCCCAGGCCCTGCACCTGTCTGTGCCGCCCCATGGGAACAGAGACGGCAATGGCCGGGTGCTGAAACACAGGTAACAGCTGCCTAAACAGTGGATGATGACAATAGATGGATAGTATAGATTCTGAATGTGTGAGTGGTGGTGGTTTTTTAAACAAGTCCTCCTTCCTAAATATTCAGTTCAACCTGCAGTGCAAAGTACCAGGGCAAATCCATGAAAAACAAGATCGAGACCCTGCTTACAGGGAACTCTGACTTACACAGCACCAGGAAGCGTGTCCCACTGCTCCCTGAGCACGGTTCGCCTGCTCATTGTTTTATTTTCAGCACCTGGAATGGTGAATGGTACACAGTGGATTCTCGATAACGAATAAACAGATGTGATACCCTAGTCTTGGTCAAGGTTTCCGGAAGAAGTAGATGGCCTTATCTTACATGTCCTGTCAAAACAGGTCAGCCAGACCTGGCCTCACCTTGAGAAGGAAGTAAAAAATTAAAGAGCGAATTCTGAAGTCAGTCAATGCAAGCAGTGCCTGGAAAGGCTGGAGGAAGAGGCAGGCCTCAAGCCTGGCCACCATTCTGAACCCAGCCCCACCTTGAGGCAGAAAACCCTCCAGCTTGCATAGGGAACTCAGGGAGGAATTCCTTCTAACCAATCCCAAGTGAGTTCGTCAGGACCCAGGAAGTGACCTTTGGTCACTGGGCTATTCCCTGGAGCCCCAGTTCTCTGACAAAGGGAAGGGTCAAGGGGTTACTGATTCTTGGGGAAAATGGTGGCTGTAGTACTGAGGCCGAATGGAGTTTGGGCATTTGGGGCCAGCGCGCCACAGTGCATCCAGGTGAAAATGTTTGGCCAGACCCCCATCCTGACAGCTCCACCACGAAAACCAGGAAGTTAGTCAAAAGGCTAGATAAGCAGCTCCCTGGCTTACCTCCTTTGTTCTGGGCCTACTCCAGTGAAGGTGGACCACATGAGGAAGCGATGACCATCATCTCTACATCCAATCATGAACAAGGTTCTCCAATGAGGAGGGGCTGAAGGGCTAAAATGGGATGTCAACTTGAGGTTGACAGCCTTCTCCAAGAACCATGGAGGCTCCTCAAGTTATCTGCAAGGAATACATGGGGCCTGGCCAGAGAAATGGGGAGGACAGTGGTATCTGCAGAACAAGGAAGGAGAAGGCAGGTTCAGGCAAAGCCTGGAGGCTGCTGGGAGTTTCCAAGGGCAGTGGCATTACTCATCAGCCTAACAGCCAAGGGCTTATTCTGCAATGTTTCCAACCCCAGGGCTGGGTGGCAGTCGGGAGCTGCTGGCTATGCCCAGCCATCATTCCCTGAGTGAGGGCCTCCGAACAGGTCACAGCAGAGCCTTTTTTCTAGAAGGGAAAGACCTACTTCTCACACTCTTGTCCATCTCTCTCCTTCCTTCCCTTGGGCAGGTGGACCCTGTGAAGCTACGCCAGGCCATCCGCACAGTTCTTTTCAACCACTTCATCATCTCTTTCCCCATCCTGGTTTTCCTCTATCCCTTTCTCAAGTGGTGGGGAGACCCCTGCCGCCGTGAGCTACCTACCTTCCACTGGTTCCTCCTGGAGCTGGCAATCTTCACCCTGATTGAGGAAGTCTTGTTCTACTACTCACACCGGTGAGCGGTCCCTGCCTGAGCACAACTGGCTCCTCACCCCACCCAGGGCTCAACGAGGAAACTGGAGGCCTCTGAATTGTAGGTGTAGGACCAACACCCCCTCTCCCATTAAGTGGTTAACAGACAACTATCTGTCCCATAAACGACAACTTGGACAACTGAGGATTGTCCAGAAAAGAGCAAGCATCCCCATTCGTGTGGCAGGCAGGGCAGTTTCCATTCACTTCCTTACTGAATCCTTTGTGCGCATCATCCCCACTTACAGGTAATACAACCCGGGGTACAGAGGCAAAGTAACCCACGCCCAAGTTGTGCAGCGTAAGGGTGGGGTTGGAACTTGAAGGCAGGCCTGAGTGCCAGTCCCATGTGTTTTCAGCTTGGCTCCGTGGATGGAACCCTTGTTCCTACCTTTGGTTTCTCATGGTCTGGCGAGGTAGGGAGAGCGGAGAATCAGCAGATTATTAACTATTAACTATTTCCCCAGGCTCCTTCACCACCCAGCATTCTATAAGAAAATCCACAAGAAACACCATGAGTGGACAGCTCCCATTGGTGTGATCTCTCTCTATGCACACCCTATAGAGCATGTGGTGAGTAGAGCTCTACTCTTCCCAGAGGTGAAGGACAAATGCCCCCAACCACCCTTCCTAAGTTCTCCTGCAGAGAATTAGACTACACTGGCCTTTCTTCTTCCCATTAAATAGCTGCCATTTATCGCTGACCTGCCATATGCCAGGCTAAATTTCTAACAAGTTATCTCATTTAACCCTCCCAACAGCCTTTTTAATCCTGCTTTTGCTGATGAGGAAGTTGAGGCCCAAACAGTTAATAACTTGTTCCAAGTCACAAAGGTGAATGTCTTCAACAAATTAAGGTCTTGAAACTTTCAGCTTCTCCAGATCTGAGTCTGGTACCACCCTGGGGCAAAGTGGTGGGACACCCAGCTGTGTCCCCTCTCTCTCCCTGGGCCCCACCTTCAATCATCCCTCCTCTTGCAGGCCTCCAACATGCTGCCAGCGATGGCGGGTCCTTTAATAATGGGCTCCCATTTATCCTCCATCACCATGTGGTTTTCCTTGGTTCTCGTCATCACCACCATCTCCCACTGTGGCTACCACCTACCCTTCCTGCCTTCACCTGAATTCCACGACTACCACCATCTCAAGTAAGGACCACTCCATCAGCTTCTGATGTAGACACTGGTGCCTGAGTTTAAATGTGGGTGCTAGTTGGGGGAGAAGTCTGAGGGTAGGAAAAATAATGGCCCCACTGGGACCACCTTACTCCTTTCCTTTTGTCTGACATTGGGTACAACTGGAGTTTTTTTTTTTTTTCAGACAGAGTCTCACTTTGTTGCCCGGGCTAGAGTGCCGTGGCGTCAGCCTAGCTCACAGCAACCTCAAACTCCTGGGCTCAAGCGATCCTCCTGCCTCAGCCTCCCAAGTAGCTGGGACTACAGGCATGTGCCACCATGCCCGGCTAATTTTCTATATATTTTTAGCTGTCCAATTAATTTCTTTCTATTTTTGGTAGAGACGGGGTCTCAGGCTGGACAACTGGGGTTTTTTAACCTTTATTTGGGTTCTGGACCCTTTCATATCTGATGTAAGCTATGGACTCTATTCAGAAAAATGTATACACGCACACAAATCCTGCAGGCAATTCCAGGGAATTGTGCACACCCAGAAAGCCCCAGGCCTTTTCAAGTGTGGCCTACAAACCTCCTAGACCAGAATCAACTGAGATGCTTGTTTAAAATGCGAGTTCTTCTAGCCTGAGCAAGAGCGAGACCCCATCTCTACAAAAAAATAGAAAAAAATTAGCTGGGTGTCATAGCATGCACCTATAGTTTCACCTACTCAGGAGGCAGTGGGGCAGGGTCACTGGAGTCCAGGAGTTGGAGGTTGCAGTGAGCTATGGTGATGCCACTGCACTCCAGCCTGGGCAACAGACCCTGTATCAAAAAAAAAAAAAATGTTTCTCAGGCCAAGGCAGGAGGATTGCTTGAGCTCAGGAGTTCAAGACCAGTCTGAGCAACAGCAAGACCCCCATCTCTACTAAAAATAGAAAAAATTAGCTGGGCGTGGTGGCACGTGCCTCAGCTACTTGGGAGGCTGAGGCAGGAGGATCGCTTGAGCCCAGGAGTTTGAGGTTGCTGTGAGCTAGGCTGACACCATGGCGCTCTAGCCTGGGCAACAGACTGAGACTGTCTCAAAAAAAAAAAAAAAAAAAAAAGTTTCTCGAGTTCCACTCCAAATATGCTGAATCAAAGTATCTGGGAGAGCAGGGCCTGGAAACCTGCATTTCAGTAAGTGTTCCAGGGGATTCCTATGCAGGTGCCTTGAACCATACCTGAACAAGCCTTAGTTCTGCCACAGGTTCTCAAACTGTGTGTATCAGAATCATATAGCAAGGGAGCTTTTCAAAGGCAGACTCCAGATTTTGCAGGTCTGGAGTGGCCCCAGGAAGGTGCGTTTCTAACAATGCGTCAGGTGGTCAGGATGTGGTGACAGCAGTGGGGCAGAGGGCTGAGAAATGTGTGAGGGACCAGCACAAATAAAATGGATATCCGTACAGCGGCCTCCAGCGCTAGCACTGCAGCACCTTCCTCTCTCCTGCAGGTTCACCCAGTGCTACGGGGTGCTGGGGGTGCTGGACCACCTCCATGGGACGGACACCCTGTTCAAGCAGACCAAGGCCTACGAGAGGCACATTCTCCTGCTGGGCTTCACGCCGCTCTCTGAGAGCATTCCCGACTCCCCGAAGATGGAGTGAGAGGGCCCTAGTGCCATCCTGGCTGTCTGCTCAGCAGCAGGATGCAGAGGTGGCCTGAGGCCTCCTGACTGCACCTAACAACTTGCCTCCTTTAGCCACACACTCTCTAATGACGCCACCACTAGGGCAGAGGGAAGGTCAGCTTCCTGGAAAAGCAGGGCCAAGGATGGGGTTAGGGCTTCCCCCAAACTAGTGTCCTTGAAGTCCCATGATAGTACCAGTAGTCGGTTTAAGGAAAAAAACAGCTCCCCAGAATGGAGGCCAATCACAAGGAGGAGACCACTTTGAAAGGGTTCCCAGGAGTCCCCCAGTCCTCTGCTGTGGAAGGGGAGAGGGGTTCCACCCCAGAAAACTCCACTGTGGCCTACGCAAGGAGCAGAGAATGGCAAAGGTGACAGCAGGACTGGAGGCCACCTGGCTTCAGGGAGAGCTCCTTGTGGTGCCAGGGGGTGGGGGAACCAGATATCACTTTGCCCCTTCCTGTCCCAAAAGGCTTTTCTTGTACCCTACTCAGGACAGGGCCGGGACACCCCCAAATGGTTATAGGTTTCAGTTCTTAACATGCCAGATGCCAGTGCCACTTCCCCTCCACACACACACACACACACGAGTCAGTGACCACATTTCAACTCTGCCCCACCACAAACAAACGTCTTCCCTCTCTGGGGAAAAAAAAAAAAAAAAATCACAGGAGCTCCTCCCTGGACTAAAGCTGAGATACCAAAGAGATGCAGACCAAACCCCAACACCTTTAGGATTATGTGGAAACCAAAGACCAAACCTCGAGGAACTACTAAGCTGAGGGCCCTTTTGCCCACAAAGCAGTCAGAGTTGCTGCCCTTTGGGGACACCCAACTGAGGCCCTTAAGTAGCCTATTTGAATCAGGACCAGAGGTTAGAACCTTCTTTCTCCCCCAACAAAGAGCCCAGAAAAGCATGGTTGAGCAAAGGGCAAAATCCTTTTTTCCCCCAATGGCTCCACATCTTTCTCAACACCATTTTTATTCAGGGTGATTTTACCAGGAACCTTATTATCTGCAACAAAACCACAGCCTGGCACTGTGGCACATGCCTGTAGTCGCAGCTACTTTGGAGGCTGAGGCGGAAGGACCACTTGAGCTCAGGAGAGTTGGAGACCAGCCTAAACAACATGGCGAGACATTGTCTTAAAAATAAATAAATAAAACAATAAAACAAAACCACAGAGCTGCCTGGGTTGAAGTGGTTCCTATTCTGGCCTCCCTTCAGCAGCCAGACATGGCCAGGAATGCTGTTGCTCCCAAGAACACTTTGAAGACCACTCTTTGATTTGAAGGACTATTCACTAAATTTTTGTGTCCTTTGTGCTTATTTCTAGCTTTCAGTTCTCTTCTGTTACTAAAACTACCTGCTGTGGCTTTAACATCTGATAGGGCCAAGCCTCCAGGCAGGATTGTCAAAAAGGACTTCTTCCTATCAGCCCTAGGGCTCCAGAGGACTTGGCCGGCAGGCCAACTGAGCACTCACCAGGCACATCCTCCCTGGCCTTCCACAGCCTTGCCTGCCCCCTCTGGCCTTGGTGGCCCCAGCTCCTTCCCTAGGATGGTTTGTGCCCTTAGCTTCAAGTTCAGCTTCTGGTGCATCAAAGCCAAAGTTCTCACAGCTGCTGGCCTGCACCCATCACCTGTTCCTACAAATAAAGATTTGGACAAAAGTCTATCTTCAGTATACTTATGAATGGTAGGATGTAAGGAAAGACTGGGTAAAGAGAAAAGAACAGACAGATATGCTTTCCCCCCTTTCTTTGGATTTTGAAGTACTTGGGAACCTGAGGCCTTGGGGACACATGTAGCCTTCTAGATCCTTGAGTGTGGCCTTTTAACTAAATCCAAATTTTACTTTACAAATCCTTTTAATAAAGAGATTTGTTCTGTGAAGTTTGGATTTGGTCGAGGCGCCACACTTGGAGATCTGGAGGGCCACGTGTAGCCTTGAGGCCACAGGTTCCCCACCCCTGGTAGAGGGACACGAGGCTGTCATTCTCTCTCCCTTTTGGCAGGCCAGTGGTCAGTCCCTGGCAGAAGGGCCCAGCCCTATCCTTTTCTGCATCAAACAGAATGGCTCTGAGGTTGGTATGCAACTGCTAAAAAAGGCCTTAAATCCCCAGCAGAAAATGTCAATGTGAAAGCAGAAAGCATGTAAAATAAACCGGTCTCTAACAGATACTTCAGTTTTTTCTATCCAAGACTTCTAATGAGGTTCAATTAACTCACCTTGTTCCCAAAGTACCAATTAGTCTGGCCACTACTCCTAAACTCTCCTTTGGCCTATGGAGGCCACTGGTGGCAGGGAAGTACCTGCCTCCCTGAAGGGCAGTGAAAAAGAACTCTCTAGAAAACCACTTGATAGGAAGTACCAGGTATGGGAGACAATCAGTTGTGAGATAACCCAGCAAATAAGGCCTTGCCTCCTTTTTAGTTTTATAATCGTATGCGGAGTTGGGGACTCACTTTGCCATCCTTCCGTAACACCACATCTCAGGGTTCAGGGGCTGATCTGGATTCCATGAGACCAGAGTGTTGAACTATTACTCCCTTTACAACCTTGTGGGAGTCTGTTCAGAGAGTCTGTGCCAACCCTCTACGAGGAACCTCATCAACCTTTTTCTTCTTGGCCGTCTCCTAACACGCTGCCAGGCCACAGACAGTGGATGGAAAACTTAGAAGCTGACAAGTGGGCTGAAACCCTGGAATTCTATTTGTTGGACTGGTATCTCTCCCTTTTGTGGCAATAGCCATGGATCCCATGTCTCCCTTTAAGACACAAGGTGGAATTCAAAGCTGGTAGAAGCTCTACAGACCACCGAGAGTCATGTGAACGCACTAGCAGTCTTAAAAGCTGTGTAAGAAGCCTCTGCCTTAAACTCCCCCAGAGCCAATGGTGGAGCAGCCATGCACAGCCAGAGCGCAGTGTTCCCCTGGGTCTGGAAAACCCTAACCCTGGGATCCATCCCTCATACCCAACGGCAGTACCCCAGATGGGACATCAGCCAGTATTTTGCCTTTTCAAGTTTTTATTTTTATACATTTTTTTTGTATTAAAAAGAAAAGCATAATTACCACAAATTACAAAGGACTAAAGCAGGACTAGAATAATAATGAATGAATCACTTCAGCCAGGAAAGCAGATACTCTCAATAATATTAATGTTATAATACAAGCTCATTCAAGTATTTTACATTTTTTTTTGTCCTTTTAAATGTGATATCCTAGCACATGGTAAAGATAATGTACTACGAGCGTAAAGTGGAACCTTCTCCACAAAGCCAGATGACAAGTTTTCCTCTCCAGTGAGAAATGGGCTGTAAGTTCTTATCTTCTGTGCCATCAACATGGCTGAAGGAGGAGAGGGTGGGGGCTGGGGAAAATTCAGGGACCTTTCCACACAGGAGCTACTTTGGGGTCCCATTCAGGAGGGTGCCAGATAATCCAGATCACTCTATCCAGGCATTTGGCAAAAAACCCTCACCCTCCTAATCCTAACTAGTTGTCTTCCTTACCCCTCTCCCTCCCCACTTCCAGGGCCTTCTGATCAGCTTACTTTCTTTTATAAAAATCAATTGTCAGGAAAGGGGGAAAAAAGAGCTACAATGGAACAAAACAAAAACATTAACAACTTTGACATGGGGGATCACACCTCTACCTGAGCCCCAGGGGTCCAGGCTGGGGCAGGGCCCGCATGGCCCTTCTCTACTGGTAGTGCATTTGCTCCCAGGCACAGGAGAGGGAGAAAGAGAGCCTGCCCCTCAACAGGGCTGAGGCACACAGACCTTCTGATGTTTCATGCCCAAAGGTTGTGTTGGCATGCACCAACCTTGCAAGGGTACAGAGGGAAGAGGGGTTTGGGCAGGCTGTTGCTTTGTGTCTCAGGTCTTAGATCCCCATGGGAGGATGGTGGGTGTGAAGTGGCTAGCCCTGATGGCCCCTGCCACTCCTGGCATGCTTGTCACAGATACATCGGTCCTAAATTCAAGTGTCTTCAGAAAGTGAAGATGTAAACTACTCTTTGCAACATTAACTCCTAACATGTTACAAAAAAAAAAGTCC